GGAGCTCCAAGGGCTTTGCAAACAACTCATTAACCCTCCATTTATGCTATTCATCAATTACTGCATTCCTTGGCTCTCACACAGTGTCTCAGGTAAGGGGCAGATGTGGGCCGGGGCCACTACAGTCCTCTAGCCCAGGTCAGTCGGGCAGCACCTGGGCAGGTGCCCCTCTAGGTCATGAGAGAATAGCAGTGTCTTTGGGGCTGGGGCTGGCAGAGTGCTTTGCTCGCGGTGCTTGGGGTGAACTTTTTTTTTTTAAAGAAAATCAATAAACATATATCGACATCTACTTCACTAAGTTCAAACACAGCAGCATCTAAAAGATGTCTGAAAACAAAATCAAGGATCAGCGTTCCTAAGGCATGCAGGAAGTAAACCATGTTTCAGAAGAAGCCAGGCTTATGCTTTAAAATCAAAAGGGCTTTCTATTTCCGTGTGTTTAATACCAGGTTTTGGTTATTTTATTTGTAAATATTTTTGCAAATTTGCCAAAAACATGGAAAAGTTCCTGGTGTCAATAGAAGATGAGCAGAAGCCCGTGCAGTGGGTAGAGGCAGCTGAACACGGGCAGGTGAGGACCCCTCCACCCAGCCAGGCTGGCTCAGACCCCTCCACCCAGCCAGGCTGGCTCACAGCCCGGGGGCCAAGCTTCCCCGCCCTCCCTCACAGGCCACTCCTAGAGTCCAGGAGAATCTCCTGGCAGCTGACCAAGCCCTCTCCACTTCCTTCTCCCCACCTCTCAAAAGCAGCAATTTTCTAAACCCATTTCTAAAACATGGAGTGCAGGAGAGTGCCTGGAGAGAAGGGGCATTCCCGAGACACGACTATAGGTGTACAGCGCATGTCCACGCCATTCCACACGGCAGCGCCCGGCCACAGGACTGCCATCGCCTGCCGCCTGAGCAGCGGGCGCACAGCTAAAACTGGCTCGCACCTTCCCTCAGGTGTGCCTTCTCTCAGTCCCTGCTACCAACATGATGATGATAATAAAAATAATAATAATAATAAAATATTCTATACTTCATTATTATTAGTAAAATAATTTTTAAAAAGGACCAAATTCTTGTATTCTCTTATTAGAAAAAGAAAAATTTGCATTTACCTGCTACAGATGAGCTTCTACAAAAAGTTAAGTCCTGCCTGAAGTCGGAAAGGAATCTGATCTGGGCTGCTCTAACCTCCCTGAAGTCATTTCAGTCTGTTCTGCTCACGGACTAAAGCCGTCAGAATTACTCCCTGCAACATACAGCTTCCTTCCATTGGGGCCCAACACACACACACACACACACACACACACACACACACACTATTCTATAATGCTTTTAAGAGGAGAGGAGAGGAGAGGAGAGGAGTAGAAGTCCCATAATGTAATTGCCATATTAAAAAGAAGAGTCAGGCAAGAATAATAAGGGAGGTGTCAAAAAAGAAATACAGTAGTAGACTTAAAAACACCCCACAGTTCCGTGATGGGGGTGTTGATTGAACACAGCAAAGGGAAAGAGAGAGAACAAAGGGGGTTGAGGAAGCAAAAAATAATTTTTTAACCTCCTCCAATTATTCGACTTAACTTCAGTGCAGATTATGCACTGAGGAAAATTGGCTGAAAAGCACCATATATAGCTATTATATTCTAAAATTAAAAACTATTCACAACAATTGCAACTACTCATTGCTACCTATAAATATTCTTCTTAGTAAATGACATCTATTTTTTTGTCTTTTTGCAATTTTTAAACCTGCATGATTTTGACCCAGAAATAAAAATTTAAAAACCAAGCAATGTTTAAAAATATATTCTGAGTCTTTTTTCTTCTTTCTTTCTTTCTTCTTCTTTTTTTTTTTTTATTAAAGAAATGCAACGTGTTGGCTTTTCTCCTCTTCCCCTGCACCCGCCAGCCCAGTTGCCACCACATACACCTGTGCACGCCTGAGCTCCCCTGTATCAGGAGACCAGGAACCGTTCTTTAAAAAACAAAAGAAAACGTGCCACTAAATGGCCCAAGACTGCATGTCGAGTCTCTGGGTTCCCGAATGAGTGTGCAGATAAAAGCCACTTGAAATCTTCACACCGTGGTCTTGACAGGGCTTTCTTGCTGCTGTCTGGAATATGCTCCCTGAGCTTTTTTATGGCTTTCTTTTATCTTGGCATTTATTTTTAAAAAGCAAAAAAAGTATCAAAATAAAAACTCACGCACACTCTGAAGCCAGCAGGCACAGGGGTTCTTCTTTTTAAGGGTCCCCACAGTAATTTCTGACTTAAACACCCATCAATCAACTGTGATTCAGACCCGCTGCCTACCTCAGGTATGGCGCCTGGTTTTGAAAGTTCCAAAAGGGGGTAAGACACGCCATTCCCTCCTGAGTCTCCCAGCTAAAGTCACGTACAGAAACCTAAAACCAAAAGCAGGGCTGGACGGGACGGCCGGCTCCCCGGCAGAGCTCTGAAGGCCAGGCGGATGTGTGAACTTCAGGTCAGAGTAGAACAAGTGACGAGCCCATGACACAGGGCGACCTCGCAGGGCTGGGTGGAGCTCAGGAGCCCTGTTCCCACCAAAGGGCTGGAAGGCCAGGCCCGGGAAGGGCCAGGCACAGGAGGTGGGGGCTGCTGGCTGGAGCCGCCTTCCATGTTTCTAGCTCAGCACCAAGAGGGCAGAGGGGCTTCACATAGACTTACACCAACCCCACGGAGGACACGGAGGACACGCTGGCCTGGAGCAGGGGTCTGCAGCCTCCGAGAGCCCAGAGGTGGCTGGGCCCCTGGGGGATCACCCCTGGCTGACACCTACCTCCAACACAGCTCTCAGATTCCCCAGCAGCGCCCCTCCCCTCAGCCCCTCCCCACTCAAGTTGAAGGCCGGGAGGGGGACGTCTCGCTCTCTCTAACTTTCACTCAAGGTGTCCCCTCAGACGCAAACTCCGTGTGTGSGACGCCTGTGTGCACATGCGTGTTTCTCTCTTAACGGAGGGCACAAGTATCTTTAAACTTTTGATTTACATTATTTTATGAGCTATTTTCTAAGTACCTTATTCTAGACACACCACACACAACTTAGACATTTTTTTGAATTTCCAAACACGAAGTGTGTCGACATAAAATTTTAAAAACCAAAATATGTATTCCAACCATAGATTGCATCTTTAAAATGTTATTTAGGCCACCACACTTGCTTTGCCCCTCCAGGCCTGAGCCCGTAACAACAAGGCACCAACTCCTGACCCCCACCTGACTCCCACCCACCCACTTTGATCTACTGCCTCGGTAGGTTTTAATTACGAGGCTAGAATTGAACCCTCTTGCCACAGTGTGCATTAAGTGCCCTGACAGGCTGCCTCTCAATGAAAATCTGAACAAAAGTATCTTCAAAAATAAACTCTCTCAGTCTGGACTATTACATATTTCTTTCTATTTGATTCTGCATTTTATGATCCAAGATCAGAAGAAACTCATACTTAATTAGAAGCAAATTTTAACAAACCCAGCATTAAAAGTGAATGAGCATTATTGATCAAAGAAAAAGGAAGACAAAAGCAGAAAGGAGAAAAATAGAGACATATATATACATTTACTCCTGAGGGGAAAAAAAACTAAAAATGGTTACGAACTGAGAAAAGCCCTTGTGATATTCGTTGGCACAATCCATGAGTCTCGTAAGAAGTGTCTCCCAGCCAAAAACTGCAGCTAGCCGTTTTGCAATAGGTCCCTGGCTGGCGAGGCGACCTGGAGGACAAGCAGGTCCAGGCAGCACGGCCCAGGTGCTTTGTCTGGATACCAGCACACCATAAAGAACACCCAGCAAAGAGCGGCTTGCTGATTCCACGTACATTTGAAGCCCAAGTAATCACGAACTCAATCAACAATCACATCTTGAAACTATTTATTTTTTAAAGGAGAAACACAGAAAGCTCCCCCCAAAAAAGCCACCTTGGCGCTGGCCCTCTCTGCCCCCTTTCTGTGTAACTATCAATGTATATCAACTGGGCATGCCATCATATTTATTGTCACTTTCATTCATGTCATGCCCTTGTTTATATGGTTTAGATATGAATTATTGACTGTTACAGTCCTTGTTGTAAAAAATAAATAAATAAGTAGGATGTCAGGTACTTTGCGCTGCTTCAAAGGGAGCAGGAGTCAGAGCCCAGCAGAAGCTGCCCCTGTATGTAGCCAGGTCTCTCATCTCTAGGCCATGGCTTCAGATCGCCTTTCAAACTCTTTCTCCTTACAAGGGAGAGATTTAGCCACTTTGGAAAATTAAGGATTAAAGTAAACAAACAAGAGGATGGTGCTAAATGTCCTTCCCACAGCACCTGCTGTTTAAGAACATCTCTGATTGATGACTGCTATTTTTTAATTGTTGCTTTAAAATTTAAATGCCCTCCTGGGGTGTGTTCTAAGTGTGTTAGTCCATGATATGAGGCCTAGAGAGTGGAACAAGAGCCAGGGCTCTCTAGGCAGCGCACTCTACCTCTCACCGGCTAGGAAATCCCAGGCCAAGGCGGAGAGGTACTGTTGGAAGGCGCTTCCCACAAAGGTATTTGACAACACTTTCTGTTGACAGCCTCTAGCCTGCTCTTTGTATAAGTATAAGCAAAAGAGGGGAAAAAAGAAACTTTAAACAGTTCCRCCCCAGCCCAACGCCACAAAATAAATTGGGGTTTTAATTATGGGCCAAAGTACATTCTTTCGGGAAATGGACACTTTCATATTTTTCCCCAAAGACACACCATTCTACGAAGTTTCCTTCAGAACCTACGTTTTAGCCTCAATTTCCAAAAGGGTGGAGAAAGAGTTAAGGAAAATAAACCTGTACTACTGGAAAACAACGTCAGAGAAACTGGATTCCTTCTTTACAGAAAGCAGGACGAGGACTTGGTATTAGAGATTGGGCAATCAGCACTTTCATCCTGAAATTCTAATTTTAAATACGACATTCATGATTGCAGGTTAAGTGATTCAACTGGCCGAAGAAAATGCCAAAATATTGGATTCTCATTCCTACCTGTTTTCTCTTTGATTTCACACAACACATTAAACAAGGCAGGCTTCATTCTGTGGCAGTTTAAAGCATGTTTTCTGTAAAAAAAAACACAAAAACAACAACATGGTAGCTTAGGTGGACTCCCAACACCAAACTCCGGAGATGGCACAGGGGAATCGGAGCATTCAGCCAAAATCATACACCGAGCCCAACCCTGCGGCACGCTTCACTTGTTTTTATGACGTAATATTCGAAGTCCCGCCACAGAAAAAGAAATAATGCTAATTAGCAGTGAGAGAGTAGGGATTTAACTACAGAACAGAACTAACCTAAATTATGCCCATTTAGGGAATTTTTAAAAGTAGTGTAATCAAAGTGGAATTTTGAAACCAATCATCCCTTACTGGACTGTGGATGCACAGAGCTAAACACACAGGTTAACAGTTTTGCAAAATCCACGCGGTGACCACAGCCTAGAAGCTGCCTGCTTCTCCGTCTGCGTGTGTTCAAATTTAATTCATCCATGTGTTTGAATTCATTCCGCAGATGCCCCTGTATTCTCATAAACACAAGATGCTTGAAAGGTCTTCTGAGCAGAACTGTCAATTTATAAAATTTCAGTCCCCAAGTTAAAGAGTATGGAAATGCATTGCCAGGGGGCAAACATACCCATATGGGGATAAATTCATTTCTCTGTGTTCACATTACGTCTCTTGTGCACACACTGCTTATTTGCAGGTGTTGAAATTCAATTATTTACAATTAGGACCTTCCACCCATTGGGGAAAAAATAAATACAATTTTGCCTTTTAGATTAGCGACTGACCTGGTTCTTGGGTCTGAGTGTTTGTATGCAGAATGCACTTGAGGAAGAAAACAATACCTTCCCTCTACTTTATCATGGAATCACTTAGCAGAATGATAGTGCTTTAGAACGAAAATACTGATCCTATCAGCTCTTAGTTAAGGGAATTCTGTTTACTAATTAAAATCATGTGTAAAGATAAGTGGAAACTCCTATCACTTAAAACACATGCAATTCTTTTTTAATTGTTTTGAAAGTTAAAAACAACAACAACAACAAAAAAAAMCCCACACAACACACACAGCCTCCAGAAGAGCAGACTACAAGTATGTTCTCTACACCACACAGCAGAGGAGTAATAAACTCACAATGCATGGCATCCAAAATATTAATAGTTTACTTTGGAATCAACAAATATACATTAGAAAGGGAAAAGAAAAAGGAAAATAAGGACATTTCATCTGCCAAGTAGAGTTGCATTGTTCAACCAAAAAGAAAGCTCAGTTGAGATTCAGTCAGTTCTCGTGTGGGGTGAAAAAAAGGGATGAGAAGACTCTTGCATTAAGATCTTTCTGAGTCTCTAGAAATAGTTTTCCCTAATTGTGCTCATATGCACAGGCCCAAAGGCAAACAAAAAACTCCACAGAGCTATATAGAAACAGTGTGTCTCCCCCACACACAGGGGATTCCAGCAGGAGAACTGACCATGTCCCTGTCCCCAAATTTTATCTGGCCTCTCAGCTTTTAGGCCATTGAAGGGGAACCTGCTGAGAGCTGTTTGTCCTCAGTTTCACTAAAAAGAGGGACTGAATCTTACAAAAGTAGCCAAGTGTCTGCTCCTACGGCCCCTTCCATGTCACCAACTTGTTAGTAAAGCAGTTTACTGGTATGTCTGAGTGTATTTTTCTGGAACAATGTAATGGAGAAATCTGTTCCAATTCAAAAGAGATTGGCCAGTGGGAATCATTCCATTTGCCATACCTATTAGCTTTTCTTTAGGAAATAAAATTCAAAAAGAGCACCCAGAATTTTTTTTTAAAAAAAACCTTTCCTCTATTAAAATAAATAAAATAGTCTGTCTTTAACCTCCCCAAGTTTCTAGGCAGCCGTGAACCAAGTCCTCTGAGTTTACGGGTCGCGTGTGTGCAGCTCCAACACCGTGCATTCACACATTTGTGTTTTTATCTGCTCCCTCTCATTCTCTCAACTCAAAATCCTGTTTCCCTTAGGAGGGGAAAAAAAAAAAAAAGAACTACATATGTTTGCTCCAGATAACTAAGTCACTCGAGTTATAGAAATTTGAAATGTATGTTTAAAAGATTTTCAAAGCACAAGCAGGAAAAATACTGTGGAGATTTAATAAAGCTGGGTATAGGCATATGTGGTCATTAAATTTTTTAAATTCTTTGGAGTTTGGCCTTGGGCAAGATGTTAGTGGGTTGCTACTTTACTTGGGTTTTATTTTGAAAGAAAATTTCTATAAAATACATGAGAACTGTAGCCTGGTGGTGGATCAAGTTCGGAGGCTCCAGTTTCTTTATTACATTTCTCTAATGAAGAGCTTCATGTCCTATAGTATTGAGATACAGAACATTCCCGCTGCTTTCGTTTCTCTTCAGCTGCATCCTACGAAGTCCTGCCAGCAGCAGGGGTGAAGGAGCAAGCTGGATTTCTGTCCCCCCACCCGTTTTTAAAGGACCGTACATAACTGTGTCATGGAAGGTTAATAAACCTACTCAAATTAGGAGACAATAAAGTTAAACTGAAAATCCGAGTCTCATAAAACTAGCAAACATGCCTAAAAGCAAAATTATCTTTTTTCTTTCTTCCCATTAGCTTTTTCTAAAAACAGAATTAAGGGAATGTAAAATAATTTCTGTGTAGCTGACGATTACTGACAAAGAAATGCCCGGCTTTTTCTTCTCTGGTGGTTTTGTATTGGGGGGGGGGGGCTTGAGAAAAAAAAAAAGATAAAAATTAATTTTGGAGGGGTAAGTCGAGAGGGAAAACCCAACTCACTGAATTAGTGAGGGAGTCAGCTAAATCTGCAAATCAAGTGTTCTTGGGACATTTTATTTCTAATGTGGGGCGATCCCTCAACACCAAGGCACGGACGGCTGCTCAGAACTTGACAATTCTGCTCTCCTACACTTTTTTAAAGCAGTAAAAAGTGCCGAGGGCCGCTGCGGGGTCAGCTGGCAGCCCCTCGGCGTGCCCGCTGGCGTGGGTCCACACGGATGCCTCTCCACACACACGCACGACGTGCACAGCCACACTCGGCAGGGGCGAGCACACTTTCCATAAGCAGGCTCCTGCAAATCCTGCTCCTCCGCCATGTAGTGGCTTGTCAAAATGGGGGGAGAAATCACATTTTTAAAGAAAGCGCTGCGGAGACTCGGTCCCCATTGTCTCTCCCCGCGAGAGGGAGAAAAACAAAACCCAGAAAGGAAAGGAAAGCCTCCATCTCACCTGGCCTGCGCCTCGTCCAAACTCTGGTCGGTGATGGTCATGATCTGCTGTAAGATGTCTCCGATGTCCTGCTTCCTCCCGCCCTCCCCCTCGGCCCCGCCGGCCCCGTCCTGCAAGTGCTGGGACAGGCCCGGGTGCCCGGCCATCCCGACCCCGGCGTGGGAGTGCATCAGCCGGGGCTGCTCGTCCATCTCCGAAGCAGGCAGCCGGCTCGCGGCGGGCTCCTCGGTCGGCTCCGGGAGACCGAGGCTTTATCCTTCCAGCCGCCTTCAGATCCTTCTCAGGATGAYCAGGGACGGGGAAAAGAGACCCAAAGAAGAAGAAGAAAAAATCCTTGGCCTCTTTAGAGGCTGGTGGGAGGCTGGGGCGCGGGGAGGGGGAGGGGGCGTGAGGGGGTGGCGGGGTGAGGGTGGGGATCAGAGCTGCTGGGGAAGGGTGTTGACTCCAAAAAGCAGGAAAAATAGACCACCTTCCCACTTGGCGACGGGAAACCCGAGCCGGCTGGGGTTCTCAGTCCGACCTCCGGCGCCGGGCAGAAAGGGGCTCCCGGCGCTGAAGTCGGTGGCTTAATCCTTTGGCCAACAGGCACGGATCGGGAGAAAGGAGAGGACGGCAGGGGGATGGCCAGGCAAACTTTCCCCCACCCCCCGCGGCCCCCGCCCCCACGCCGGGCCAGAGTGATCTCCCAGGGGGTGGGCAGTGGCCAGAGCCAGACCCCCGGCCGCCGGCAGGCGAAGCCCCGCTCTCTCCCCCTCCGCGGCTCCGCAAACTCCGCGGCCCCGTCAGCCTCCTGCTTTTGTTTAGCTCAGGCTCCGGACTCCAGAAACATACACAGAAAACCCAGCCTGCGAGGAGGCGGCGGCGGCGGGGGCGGAGGAGGAGGAGGCCGGGAAGGAGGCGAGGGGAGGGGGCGCGGGGCGGCGCGGGGCGGGGCGGCGCGGGCCCTGGAGCCCCGCCCCGGGCCCTGATTGGCCGCCCTGGAAGCCAGGGCCCCGCCCCGCGCCCCGCCGCGCCTCCCCCGCCGCCGCCGCCGCCGCCGCCGCTCCTCCCCGCCCGGCGCGCTGTCCATCAGAGCTCAGAGGTGGGCCCGGGGAGGCGAGCGCCGGCCCCGGCCCTGAAAGGTGCCCGGTACCCCAGCGCCGGCTCCGCGGGTTCCCCCTGCTCTCGCCGCCCTTTCTTGGGCTGCGTCTTTGAGGAAAACGTGGCTCCTCTTCAATGCAAACCTAGAAAATTAGCAGGAAAGGACACAGACGGTGTGGATCCCTCCGCCTCACCCCTGGTTTTCTTTTGCTGCAGCACAGCATTTAAAACTTGATTCTTTCCATCCTTAGACCTCAAGGAAACAGTTGAGAGCAAGTTTGTCAGCACCGAGTAGTTATGAAGCACAACCAGGATGTTAATGTGATTAATAACGATCTCTGATAAAAGGAAGAAGTCATAGTAGATTAAAAAAAAAAAAAAAAAACAACTCTATCATAACAAAGTTAGAATGCACACCAGCCTGTGTCAATTGTGTGGCCTGAAAACTGAATTATGGGCTATGAAACCAAATAAATTTGAAGAAAAAGAAATGAATAAATAAGTTCACCAACTGAGACTAACTCAACATTCCTCTTGCCCCTGGGGGAAATTAGTTATTTGGCTTAAATACTTAATAAAGAAATGCATTATCACAGTCTGGCTCTAGTTTTTAATACACTCTAATAAGCATTATTAACTGGGATAAGAAGTGAATGGACATTTATTGAATGCCTACTATGCACAGAGTAATTTACATGAGTCATTTTATTTAATTCCCAAGACATCTCTGTGACTTGTGGCTTTTTATTTGCATTTCACAGAGAAGAAACAGAAAGGTTGAATAACTTGTTCCAAGTCCGCAGTGATCCAGTGTCAGGGCTGGAACTCAAAGCCGGGTGCCACTCCCTCCGAAGACCTCTTGTTCCACTGTCAATCTGCTTCAAGGCTAACAGAAATGTGCATCAAATGTAAAAATTTGCTTTTATGTGTTCCTGATGTTGTTTGAAAACAGATTTAAGATAATCAAGGACATACTCGAACAAGATGGCTCAGATTGAAAAATGAGTGGGAAATAATTAATTAAGTAAATAAGTAAATAAAATGGAATCAGAAAGAAACCCAGTAAGAAACTCCCTGCTGGAGTCCAACACCATAGCTGCACAGTAACCATGAACCTGCTGCCAGTCTTTTCATTAGGCAGAACAGGAGGGAGCATCCAGGTGGACTCAGTTACAACACCTGTGAGATCAACCAGCAGGAGGGACTCCTGGAAGTGGCCCAGCATAGCTCAGAGGAGCGTAAGTATTCTAGTGCACAGCCCTCTCCCTGGTTGGCACTGCAGCCACAGGAAACACGTTGGTGTAAACCTCAGTGTAGCCAATCGGCAAAATGGGGCAGCCTTGCCAGGTGTTGGAGAGCCTCACATAAAACATCCCTCTTCTCATTTCATCAATCACTGTGCAAAAGCTTGGCAGGATCAGGGGCATTRAAACCAGTTCTTAAGGAGCTACTTGGCACTTGCTGGTATGAGAGTATGCGGTAGAGAGCGTTAAATAGAATTACAATGTCGTGTTACCTAATAACAATTGTTTTATTCACATACTATGCTGACTTGTAAACTATTTTTAAATCACACTAATTAAAAGTTGAGCACAAAAATATCTACTCAAATCATGTATCAATCACAGCAGGTAAGAGTTAGCAGGCACCATATATCTTCAAGCATGAAAAGAACTCCACCCAGTGCCTATAAGAAATAGGTTTGGGAGTAATTGATTCTAAATGCAAGTCCAATAAACACTTGCCAGGAAAAGTATTGGAAAAGGAGCCATCAATACCAGAAGACCATGAGAATAGCTAATATTTACTGAGCACTTACTACAGGGAGCTATTCTAGTCGTGGTTCATTGTTAATTGCATCTCCACAACCACCACAGAAGCACTGTCCTGCTTTTATTCCTCACTCTCCAGTGCTGCCCAAAGGTTTCCATATAAAATACACACTACAGATTACCACGCTGCAGAGTTTCGGGGTGAGAGAAGGCGCGACCTGGTTAGAGCAGGGAATGTGGACTCCGAGGGGTGCCCAGGGGGCAGTGGATCCCAGGACAGGCTAATGCATCTCTCTGGACACGGTGGGTGTGTATGGAAAGGCACGGCTGGGTAGACGCTGAAGAGCAGCATTCTGGCTTTAGTTGGTGGACACCGAGGAAGCACAGACGAGCTATTCACTTTGAACAMGGAGCGGAAAGGCTCGCTCCAGGAAGAGTCACCTGGTGGCCCCACCCAAGGACAGCAATCCTCCTGTAGCCGATCCCTGCCAAAGGGAAGATGAAATTAGCAAAACAAATTCAGAAGGTGACAGCAGAAATGGAAAGGAGGGGACGATGACGAGAATACTTTTTGAGGTAAAGCCAAAAGAATCAGATACTGATTTTATGTGAGTGGGAAGGATAAAGGAATCGGAGAGGAGTGTGATGGTACAACAACTGTGGCTGTGGGGCAGTTCTCTCAGTGCTGACCACATCRCAGGCCCTTGTCACATGCTGCCACTTGCTTTTAACAATTTAGCACCAATTCCAACCATTCCTGCCTGCAGTTGGAGACCCTCAGGTTCTGAGTTGCACAGCAATGGCCAGACAGGCACAGGAGAGCATCCACTGCTCAGTGGCTGGACAGGCGGGTGGTTTCTTTGTTGTGTGAGCAGAGTGCACCTGACACACTAAAACAGATATGAAGTCACAGGTACACACACACACACACACACACACACACACACGTCTGTCCTTGACTGAGATTTCATCCTGCACATCGACTGGGTGCTGTACAAAGCCTTATTTTAATGCATTACAGAGAATAAAGGAAGTCAAAAGGGGGAACTATCTTCAGTGAAATGGAACAAAAATGAGGATCTTCTTTTATTTTCCCTAAGAAACTTATTAAAGTGGGCTCAGAGGATGAACTTACATAGGAAATTTCCACATCTTTTGGGCAGTGACGAAAGATGGGTTGTGCTTTCTGTACCTTCCATATCTCAGCAACACTTCTGAGGTTGTAGACGGTTTACAGTGTGTGTTGAAAACATTAAAAATGCTAATGATCGTGCTGAATTTCTCAGGATAATAACAGAAGCCCATGAATTGTACTTAAGGATGTGTGTCATTATCAAAATTTGGCCAACTAGCAAAGTAGTTCTCTGTCTGACCTTGTTCTAACAGACCTTATTCTAACAGACCCCCAAGTCATCTTACCACATTACCTCTGACAAGATTTGGTTGCCTTGAAGATGATCTCTCAAACTCCATTGTTAGCCCACTAGCACGTACTCTTGTCTTCACTACGGGACACCGGGGATGTGTGCAAGGACCCAGTTCATCCTCTAGCAAACAGAATGGTTGCAAAGACACATGTCCCTTGCTGTGGTCTTGGAAGTGATTCTGTTGCCGTGTGCATGGTGTTAGACCATCTAAGCAGACACCAGTGTATTGTGATCTATTAGAATTAGTTTCTTCCACCCAAGAGGATCAGGATGGTGCCCGAGACCCTTGGCAGGAGCTCTCCCTCTTTCCGAGGATCCCTGTCTTTCTCATGAGCTGGGTTCTTAGGCCTTGTTCCAGGCTCTTCTTAAACTTCCCCGCTCACTCTCCACCCGCCCCTGTTCTTCCTTGCTGCCTCACTCCTCTGACCCGCTCCAGCTCGGTCCTCACTGGGTAAGCCCAGCAGTGCTGGGACCTCCTGCCTGCCTGTGCCAGCAAAGTCACCCGTTAAGGCAAGTCAGTCTGGAGCCAGGTCCTTTCCCAGGGTCTGTGTGAGCTTCAGCTCCACCAATGCCTGGAAGCTGTGTCAGAGTTTGGTGAGACTGCTGCTCCACATCTCTTACAATAGGGTCCAGCCTCAGTTTCAAGAGATTCTAAGACCCAAGAATGGCAACGTCTCCTGGCCTGAGGTCACCCAGCCACAGATGCCTCAATGTCACCCTGCTGGGCTGGGGAAACTGTGGCTCTGGCAGGTAAAAGCCTGTATCCAAGACTTGTTTCTGTTACCTTAGCGAGCAAGCTCCAGGCTGACTGTGGCCCATGAGGACGGGCCATGGAGAGGTGGTCAGTGCCGTGTCGGTACTGCTGCTCTGAGCCAAGGCTGCCCCGAAGCACATCAGAACAGAGCTGAGGCTGCGGCGAGCGTGGACAGCGGCACGGTTCCGTTCCTCAAGGCCTGCGGGGCTGAGTGTGCGGAGACCAGAGTCTGCAGCTGGTGTAGGAAATAGCGGTAGTCAAAGCCAGAGCCACCCGAGCTCAGGGAGCCACGGGTCTGCCAACCACCTACAACAGGGTGGTGTGACGCGGACGGGAGCGGCCTCAGACAGTGGTCAGGGAAGGCCACTCCCAGAGCCCACCTTGGGCTTAGTGTGCAAGGAGGAGAAGCCGGACCAGCAGTGATCCTGGGACACTGACAGGGGAGGAGGGAGGCAGAGGGAGGAACAGGAGGCCSGGAGGGAGGGAGGGAGCCAGAGGCAAGAGGAAGGGACATGAAGACCAAGTCGGAGGAGGAGATTCCCAGGCCAGGGCGGGATCTGGGATCTGGGATCTGGGATTGGAGTCGGCCGTACCTGGGGTCCACGGGAGGAGGCTGAGCAGAGGTGTCCACCAACTTCCTCAGAGGTTCAGGATGATCACCCAGGACCCGGGGGGGTTTGGTGAGTCGTGTTTGCACAGGCAGATGAATGTGACCGGGGCTGCCTTGGACGGAGCTGGACGGGCTTTGGAGGTGAGGGGGTGCCCGGAGGCCAAGGGGTGGAGGAGGGTGGTGTGACACGAGTTGGGAGCGGCGGAGGAGGGGGAGAGGGGTCGCAGCTGGCTTTCAGGTGCCA